AGGCACTTGGAGCTGTGCCCAGCCACTGCTGGCTGGAATTGGGGCAAGGCCCATGTGAGTGTAGGCCTCTCGCTGTGTAAGGTGCGCCAGCGGAGGCTCCCCTCGATGGTCCTGATACTGCAGATACGTACGTGCGTTTGACATGCACGGTGTTAGTCATGCTCTTAACTTTAAGCACAGGCATGAGTGTTTGCAGTATTCTCAGAGGCACTGCCGTCCAAGCTACCAGTCCCCGTTATGTAGCTATGGCTCTGCTCCTTGTTCCTAAAAGTAGACGTTTGCACTCCACTATATTAAATCACATTTGATTTTTATTGGAACAGACCCACTTACTGAGTCATCCAGCCTGCTCTGCATGACTTCCCTGTCCTCCGCACTATTTGCCAGCCTTTGCGTCATACTTTTATCAACAGCGATTTTATATTTACTTCCCAATCACGGGTGACACTATTGAATAGCGTCAGCTCTGGTCCGATCCCTGCCATGCCCCCTTCCCATGATCTCCATGGACAGCTGCTCTTTAAGATCTGTCAGTGTGCCAGTTCTCCATCCCTTTACCATGTGTGTCGATATTGCGGGGTGCTAATATTGTAATCCGCGATGCGTGGTACTGAATCAAATGCAGTACAAAAGATATTACTACATGTACACGGTTGTTTTTATCAACCAAATGTTTAATCTCATCAAAAAGTGAAATCAGGGTTGTTTTGACAAGACTTATTTTCCATAGAACCATGTTGACTGGCATTATTTATATTTCCGTTAGCTTGACGTCAATCCTGGGCAAAATAATCAAAAAGCTGGTGCAGCATTCAATAAATAGCTAACTGACATACAGTAAGCCAGGTCATCCCCGCTGCCCTTTTTGAATATGGTATTTGCCCACCACTAGCACTCCTCCAGTCTTGGAATTTCCCTGCCAGTCCAAGATTTATTAAACATTAACATCAGAGAACCAATAATTTCCTCGGCCAACTCTTGGAATTCCTGGGTGCCAGGCATGTGGCCTGCTGATTTTAAAGTATCTGTTGCTTACTGGTGCTGTCTAACGTTCTCCTTAGTTAAATACTTACTTTCCCAGTCCCTCGGTAATCATCCTCCTATAACTACATCATTCTGCTTCTTTACAGACACAGAACAGAAATATTTGTGGAACACTTCCGTCTTTTCTGTATCATTAACTATTTTACCATCTTCATCTAGTAATGAGTCTTTATCAATAAAATTACTTTTTGTTTCTAATGTAGACACTTTTTTTTTAATTTCCTTTGTCCTGGTGTCCTTAGCTTCCCTTATCAATATTTTACCCTTTTATAATCTGCGATTTAGGATTGCTGTCTACTTACCCTTTTTGTCCTTTTGGGATGGCATTTTTTTATTTTATTTTTAAATGGTAACTTTACTTCCCCCACTTGAACCGGGGTGGGCGTTGTTCTGTGGCCACCCTTTTTGTTGACTGTGGAATTGTGGCTTTTTGGCCTTCATGAACTCCCAGTTTTGAGGCGCGAGTGGAGAGGTTCCAGACCATGATGGGAGTGTGAGGTGTGACCGTGGCGCTGCCTTGATGGCATTTTTTTATTTTATTTTTAAATGGTAACTTTACTTCCCCCACTTGAACCGGGGTGGGCGTTGTTCTGTGGCCACCCTTTTTGTTGACTGTGGAATTGTGGCTTTTTGGCCTTCATGAACTCCCAGTTTTGAGGCGCGAGTGGAGAGGTTCCAGACCATGATGGGAGTGTGAGGTGTGACCGTGGCGCTGCCTTAGGCTGCCCTGGGGAGAGACCAGCGCCTGCTGCTGCAGGGGCAGGATTGCTGGCCAGATACCTCTTCTGGCACCAAGGAAATTGGTTCCTGCCCGAGCCTCCATACACGAGCCTCCATACACCCTGGGGCCCCTGGATTATGTGGCAGGGACATCATCCCTTTCCACATTTCTCTCTCTTCTTTCCAGCACTAGGAGATGGGCAGAAGTCGCTGACAGCTCAGCCCAGCACGGTGCCAGGTTCATTTCCGCTCAGTGAGGCTGGTGGCTTTAGCCGGGAGGTGACTGCCCTTCCTGCGACTAGCACTGATGAGAACGCGGCCACCGCGCAGCCCCGTTTCAACAGCACTCTCCGGCTGGACGAGTCCCCCGTCCCACCCAGTCCCAACGCCACTGCCGGCGCCACAGACGGAAGGCTGCACACGCCTGCCCCAGCCATCGCCGAGAACACGACGCCCGGGCTCCGGGATAAGAACCTGTCGGCCAACAGCAGCGCTGAGCTTCTGGCTCCGGCGGCCAACGCCACAAATGCCAGCCAGCCCGCCCAGGAAGGAACCGAGCCCTCCAGCACCACGGAGCCGACTGGCACCACGGCTGTGGTTCCAACACTTCTGCCACCAAAGGACTCGCTGGGTGAGGCTTCCTGCTATTCCCGCGCGTGGGGAGAACCTTCTCCCCCAGCACCGCCCACCTGGGGACATAGGGCTCGGCCCCATGGAGGGGTTGGGTGCCCCGACTCCCCGCGAAGTCTTGCAGATGGGGAGGCTGTTCCCCGCTCGGTACCACATCAGCCAGCTGTCTCTGGAGAGGGGAAGGGCAGAGTTATAAACCTTCACTGCTAAACCCTCTCTTCCCCAAAAGGACAACGAATTCGCCCTTTCCTTCCCAAGTACGTGCACCGTCACCCAGGGCCAAGCGCGGCTCTCCTGTACCCCAGCATCAGTCCAGAGCAGTGATGTCTCCGTGAGAGCACTGCTTGGCTCTGCTCACGCTTGCTGCTGTGCTGGGCTGTGCCAGGCCACGAGGGGCTGGATGTGTCCCCTAGGGGCCAGCGATGTCTCCTCCCGCCCTGCTGCCCTTCCAGGCTGCACAGGGCAGGGTGGGGGACGGGGGGGGGC